TAGTTAGTAAGTAAGTAGTCGACTACACACACACACACACACACACACACACACACACACACACACACACACACACACACACACACACACAACTAGAAACAAAGGATTTCAAATCTCACACGAGGTTTCAATGGGACATTGTTAACAACAATAACGCACACAACTCCCCCTACCTTTTGCGTTTCTTTCCATGATGTAGTGTGTAATATAAAATAATAATAAAAATAATAATAATAATAATAATAATAATAATAATAATAATAATTAGTAAGAAATCTCAGAAGCTCCAGAAAGAAATTCACTCAGTATTTGACACAACCAGGAAACAACAACAACAATCACCCCCACTGCGCCCAAATGGAGGGTGGATTTTGAAGCAAAAAGTAATCTTTCCGAAAGGTTGTTTCCTATTTACCCTCTGCAAATCAATAATACCAAACGATTAATTGCTACAGATTGGAATCAATCCAACCACAGGTGAACGAGGCAGTTGTCAGAGTAGAAATCCCTTCTAAAATGCATTTGTAAACATGCAGCTGTCACATTATAAAAATGAGCCACACACACTATTATATATATCTGTATAATGGGAACAAGTTTGTGGTAAAGGGCTAGTATGTGTCAAAAACAGGTTGCCAATATTTTATGTTATATGTTAAAATGTGATGGGACAGTGAAGCAAATTCTAGTTAATGCAGATATGTTAATTCTTGCCTATATGTCTTTCTTTCCAGATGTAGAGCAAAAGCAATGCTGAAAGGACTGCAGATATTCATCTAGACAAACACTTTCTCCTCACTGTGTGAAAAGAGATCTTCCCCCAGAATATAGGTTTTCCCAATCTTATCAAGTCTATTTTTGAAGCATAAATACTCTATTGGTTCGCTCCTCCACTGCACACTATATCAAGGAAAGAAACATCTATACATAATCCCATGTACACTTTTCCAGATAGCAATTTATTTTTCAACCATCTGTATTATTATCCCCCACTTCCCTCAAATAGCAACCTTAATGGACGATTTCTTGTAATCTTAGAACAATAGAGGGTTGTACTTCTCTTTGATTACAGCAGAGGGAGCACAAAACAGCTCACCTCACATTAGAACAATATACCAAGTGTGATTGTCTTCTCCCTCGGCTTCAAATCCATCTCTGTGCTCTGTACAAAAATGAGCGCCCGTGTATGCAAAGAAGGTATTGCAGCCTTATACTTTTAGATGCAATAATCTATAGCTTAATTTCTCGGCACGTAATTTATCACACACCTAATGTGCTTCCTTTCACTGAGGAATCTAGGAGACTTTGAAATGATCCACACAACCTCGGCAATGCAAAGGAAATACACATTTTGTGATTTGTCTAATAAATGCGTTGATGCGACAGCTACTACTACCAGAAATGAAAGATACTGGTGCTAAGGGTGAAAAAATCAAACTGAAGCACTCAAAGCCGGGAGAACAGCTATTCTAAAACTACCTCCCACAAAATGCGCCATTCTTTATAACAGCTTTCCCAGAATCTGATGCTTTTTCCTCTCCTAAAATTGATGAAATACATCAGACACCACCCCGTGACCTCTTGTTATGTCCAAGGAAGTTTTCCGAGAGAAATAAACAAAAGAAAACACCTCTATCCTAGAAATAAGGATACAATGTACCTTCCATACATCCTTACTGTGGGTCAAAACTGAAGAGCCTTTTGCTGGATGTATTAGGGATTTTCCAAGTGCAATAGGAAATGTCAAAAACTCGGCACTATTCTAGCCTAGATCATGTGTAAAGATTACAGAGCAGGGTGAAAACAAAACATCCAAACCATTGTCCTCTTAGCAGTGCCATCACACAAGCCAGTCTGGTAGCATCCAGTAGCTCGAAGTAGTCAAATTAAGAATATTAAAGGGAGACATTAAATCAAGACAAGGGCAATCTATTCATCGTGAATGAAGCTCCCTAAAAAACAGCCTCTTGAATACATCAAGCACTAGGCTATGCCTAAAGTCTGTACCCGCAGCATCCCATTACACTTTTCAGTGGCTCTTTCGCTGGGACACTTTGTCTATTTGCATGTGCACAGAGTATTATTGGTGCCAGAACTCACCTGCAAGTCTTAAGGCTGACATTCTCTGGAACTCGGGTTCCTGCAGCCATTTCCACATTCTCCTGAACGTCTCCCTGCCAGATTTCAGCTTACTCCAAGGTTTAGGGTTCCTTAGAAGGTCTGAAAGGGTCCCCTGAGAACGGCACAGCACCCTCTGGGCAAAGATCGCCTGGGGGATGCTATAGCGCTTCAGCTCTGCAGTGATCCTTTGGGCCACTTCTTTGGTGTTGATCTCTTCTAACTGCCCAGAGTTGTTAACTTGAGATCCAGAGGAGGAGGGCGGCCTTTCCCGGCTGGAAGCCAACACGGGCCCGTGAGGCTGAGCATGGCCAGGGTGTCCAGGATGGTGCATACCGGTTAAGTGGGACATCATGGCCGCAGGGGGGGTAGCCAGCCCCCGGGAGAGGTGCTGCTCACCCCTGGCCAGCATGGCAGTGTGGGCATCAAAGTTGGGGCTGAGCATCTTGTCGTGGCTGGGGGGTCCATAGTTATGGAGGCTCTGCTGGGTGTTGTGGATGGACCCCAATCCGTTGCCCAAGGGGGTGCCAGCCAAGGGGGACAGGCTCTGCCCCATGCCGGACATCTCCTTGTAGGGGCTGTAGAGGTTGTTCATGGCCGGCAGACCCCTCTCGTCCCTCATCAGGGTGAAGCTCCCGCTGACATTGCCGGAGAGGCGCTGGTGGTGGTGGTGGTGATGGTGGTGGTGGGCATGGGGGTGGTGGTGCGGGTGGTGGAACTTGTCGGAGACGGTGGAGATGGGCGGCAGGGGCTGGAGTGGAGTCAGAGTGGTGTAGGTGCTGCTCATGCCCATGCCAGGGGGCGAGGAGTCACAGGGCATGCTCATGGCATGATGGAGGGGGATGGACAGCTCCGGGCGGTAATCCCCTGCCCCGTCTAGCAGGGAAGCCATGCTGGACACCATGGCCGAGCGGGAAGAGGCAGAAGCTAAGTCCTGGTGCGAAGGAGGAGGATGGACCCGTAGCGATCCGGCGCTGCGGCTGGGGTGGTGCGGGCTGGGGGTGCCCAGCAGATCCTGCTCATGGCTGGCTGCCCCATGCAAACTGCCCAGACTGTCCATTGTCATCTCCGGGTTCATGGCGCAGGCATCCAGCTCTTTGGTGAGGCATCGATAGGCGGTGTAGGCAGTCTTCATTCAGTCCATGGGGGTGCTGGGCTGGCGGGATGCTCGGAGCTGGGGGGGGGGGAATATAAGGCCTCTCAGTTGTGTGTGTGTGTGTATGTGTGTGTGTGCGGGGGCGGGGGAAGGGTGTGTGCGTGCGTGTGTGAGTGCGTGTGTGTGTGTGTGTGGTAGGGGGAGGGGGGAAAATCACCAGTCTCTATCAGCCGGGCCAGCGCCGTTCCCTCGCCATGTCCTAGCCCTTTCCTCCTCTTACGTCTTCTGTTTAGGTAGCTGGAGCTGTCCAGAGTGGGTTTGCTGCTCAAACAACCTAGCTTAGCCCGGCTGGGCAGGGCTTGGGCCAGGACTGACAGGCAGCCCAGCCAGAGGCCAGTGAGGGAATGCTAAGCCCTCGCTTTGTCGGGGAGAGCCCTCCAATGGGCAAGGGGATGGGTGGGACTGGAGGCTTAAAGCTTGGCTGAGATTTCAGAGCTCCTTCTCTCCCCCCGCCCCCCCGCCCAGCACTGGAATCAAACGTCAAGGAGAGAGCGAGCAAGTTGAAGATGCAGCGTCCCCCTTGTCCAGGGGAAAGGCAGGCGCTGTGTCTCCGAGGGGAAAGCGCCCTCTCCCCCAGCAGCTGCGAATCAGGACGCAGAATTTGCTCTTAATAATAGTCAAAAGTAAGATGCTACAATCGTGACTTTGACACAAATACTCGTGTAAGCGACCGTTTGCTGCTGCCTGGTGATTCAGTGCCACGGTGTAATACAGTGTACTTAAGCGCACCCCCCTCTGAACTGTCTCTACTACACCGTGCTTGCCAACCGATGGTCAGTATTTTAACCCCGTCACAAAGTCGGGGGGATGGGAAGGGGGGTTGCGTTTGCGCATCGCCCGCCAACTTAGTACAGAGACATTGTTTTAATTATGCAATTGCTCAAGTTTATTCTCAGAAATCGCGCGTTTGTTACACTATTCTGTCTCTCTGGATCCCTGCAGACTGCAAAACAAAGCTGGAGCTCTGGGCACTTTAGAGATGAATATTTTAAACAAAAGTGAAGGACTCTGTAAAAACAATGCCCCAAAAGAATCTAGTTACATGTTCTAATTACTTGTAGTAAAGTTTTGCAGGGCCCCTCCCCCCCCCCCCCCGTTCCTGCAGCACGTCTGAACAGCATGCTCCAGGCTCATTTAACTTTTTAAAAAGCTGTGCACCACGTTTTTCTCCCAAGAAAAGCCAGGCATTATGCAGCACACGCTACCATATGGCTTTGAAATCCCTGCGTTCCAGAAGGTAATACACTTTTTGCCTAGTCCTAATTCTGTTCTGAAATGGATCAGTGGATGCTGAAGGCATGACCAGGGCCTGTCTTTCAGTTTCCCCTCCTCTCTTCAAAAGCCCCTCTACATATCTATTCCTTGAATCTGTGTCCTCTGTAAACCGTGAAGAAAGACAATCACCAAGAGAAAGGGCATTGCAGCCAACAGCCCCTGCCTGCCCCCCAAAGTAACAGATTCTTGAGGAGCAAGTTGCTCTCCCTGTGTTATTCTGGAGGTTTGAACAGGCTGAGGTTGCGCAGATGTTGCCTTTGTTTAAAGAGACAGTAATTAAGGGCAGGGTGGACATAAGTTTGAAAAGCGTGACCTATTTTCTTTTGATCAGCTGTCAAAAGAAGAGCAGGGGGTCTTCTTAAGGCAGCCCCTTCCAACCACTTCCAGCTGTTAGAGAAAACTTGATAAGAAAAGAAGGAAAAGTGCCCAAAATACAGTATGTGCCATCTTGGCTAGAAAAAGATTTGATTCATTTGGAAAACACTTCTGACTCTCCCTTGACCTTTCCCTTTCTCCTGCTAGCTGCACAGGGAGAAAACATCCCCTCACATGAATATACAGTAATGTTACGGGATCAACTTTGGAGTTCTGGTCAGTGGAAGTATTCTCTTAACTGACCCTTCCTTCCCTCTTGCACCAGATCTATTTAGTAAGTTGTTTCATTCTCTATGTTTATAAAGGTGGATCGCCTTGGTTGTCAGGCATCTCTAATTCACTACAAAAGCTCATGCTAATGCAAGCTCTCAGTTCCTAGTTGGTTGGTGTCACCATTGATACCCAAGGCGCTTGTACATTTCCTGAAGCATTCCATGAAGTTTTAAAAAAGCCAGCCTGAAGTACAGGTGCTCTTAATGCCTTTTGTAATCTGTGCTTCATATGCAAAGGTCTAGACCCACTAACTTCACACTGGCACAAATAAGAAGCTCTTCTTACATCAATACATTAGCATATTATTTCTCTTCTTTTTCTAGGAGTGGGTTTGAGATGCGGGGGGTGGGTTTGTGCAAACTAAAATAAACCTATTTTCTATCATGATCAAGATGTACACTGTGAGCTGCACTCCTGGGCTTGGGAATGATCACGTGTGATAGAGTTTAAAGGTGAGTTGTTGCATGCTCCCACCTCCGGATCAATACTGGGTTTCTCTGTGAAATCATGCAATCCTATTTCTTTCTTTGTGTAACAACTGGGCACGATTTCGACAGGTTTCACGTTTAGTTTCTAATGGAAACGGGACATTTTGAGGTTTACCCTTAGCAAACATTTACATGAGAGATGTACAGCCTGAATGAACCACAGGCTAAGGTCCTAATTTTAAATTAAGTCTCTCCTCCCCCTTTTAGTAAAATATTGAATTGTGTCTTCCCACTCAGGTTCATTTATACAGTGGCAATTTTGATAGCAGGCACAGTTTTTTTAAAGTGTTAACTTATTTTGTGGGTTTTTTAATGGTACCATTAGATGAAAACTACAACTCCAAAGGCCACGAGAAGAGCTTTGAAAACTGCACTTTGCAGAATTTAAGAGTCCATATTTTACTCTTTTGACTCCATTGAGTTTTTTCCCCCGTTTGAATGATTTTTCAATATACTGGTAAACAATGCAGAAAGTGTGATATATGGTCAATACAATTCCCTCATTAATAATATTTGGCCAAACTGGCCTGTAAAATGTTATAGCAAAGCACATTGTAATATTCCACTTTAAATATGACACAGGTTGGAGAGTATAATCACCGTGCATAACAGTGTGATAAAAGTAGACATTATACAAATATTTTGAAAATAAGGTGTTTCATGCTCTATTTTGTTCTTAAATCAAGACCTCAGGCAAATTAATGAGATATAAATACTTTCAACTAGATTAAATATATCAGCAACTAAAGCTGGGCAAATATACATTATTAATGTAAAATAAACTATATATATATAGTTATATACACAGAAATAAACAAATCTCACAAGTCACATATCTAGATCTGTCTTTACTTATCTTGCTGATAACACACACAACATCTATTTTAGAGACTATTTGAGCCATTTTCAGAATATTCAAAAATGCCTGCAATTCTTTGCCTGTAGAAAGACCAGAAAAAACATTTATTCTCCAACTAGGGTTATTAGAGAAGCACAAAAAGATACAATAATAGTGAGTTGATTTGAACTACTTTATTTTTGTCCTTACCAAAACCATCTGGCATGTGAGTGCAGGAGTATTGATCAGAATCTGTGTGCTGCAGACCCCATGCTAATCTATAGCGTTACTGGCAATCAGCTTCGCCAATGAATTGCATCTGTCTGTACAGCTATCAAACAAACATCTTCCAAAAAGTTCCCCTTCCCCAGCGTAATCATCCATTCAGGGGTAAGTCAATCCTCTTCCTTTCTGATTCTGCTAAGGAGAATTAGATAGAAAGTTTGTGTTGTTGGGTTTTAAAGGAATGAGAGCAATTTTTCTAGCCAGTGAATGATAATGGTTTTCCAGAAAGGCCTCAAGCGTTTGTATTAATCTGACAACAAATTCAATTTCAATATTGTAGGGGAATTTTTAGGAGAGGCAGAAGAATCATTATACTACCTAAAACTGAAGAACTGCATTTTGACCACTAAATTCTATTTTAGTAAGAGGACTATGGTGAAGAGTGTGTATACATTTATATTCATATGTATGGGGGTGTAAACATACACAGAGACAGACATAATCTCCAAAGTAGATCTGTGTATCTTCTGACACATGTAGCTTGATTCTATCTAACCATTCAATAGGTGTAAGAGGAGAGGAAAAGTACATAAAGCCAGTCTTCGAGTGAAAAAATAGGTGATCAGCATAGAGACCAAAAAATCATTTAGATCACGAACAAGAATTGTTTCCCTGGGTAACTGTTGGGAGGCGAGGAATGGCTGAAATGTGCAGGATCGCCTCCCTCGTTAACCAAACGCGAGAAGTTTTTTGTTTTGACTAAAAGTGCAGTTTTTAATCCAGTTGATGCTTGCTACGCTGTTACTTCGCCAGGGCTCATCACGTCGGGGTTGGACTGTAAATACAAGCCAGGAAAGTATTGGACCACCAGACAATGAGTTCTCTTAGCTCCAGGTTGGATCTGGAAGTACCAGAGCGCAACAACCATCGCTCTGATACAATTCTGGCCTTCGCACGGATTTGGGAACTTCCCCCGCTACAACTTTGATAGATGGAAGAGGTTGCGGGGGTCGGGGGGAGGGGAGCGCGAGAAAGAAGGAGGAAAAAGAGCAAATCATACCAAACGCCAATTAGGCACAGAGTTAGGAATGGGACTTGCTGGCTTTGAACAGGAGGCTATTTGCGGACCCAGCACCAGCGGGACCCGCTTCTTCTGCCTTATCTCGCAAGGGCTGTGAGCCGGGCTCTGAGCTAAAGGGAGCGGGATGCGGGGCAGTGGGAATTGTTTGGATCTTCGTCGGTGCTGAGTTCGCTGCTGCCAAGTACACCAATGTTATGCTTTTTCTCAGTGCCAGCCCGCTGCGGCCCCCGCCTCCTCCATTTTAATCAGTAACGCAGAGACGATAACTTTGAGAAATGTTGTCCTTGTGCTTCATGCTGATCTTATCGAGGACCTGATAATCATCTTTGTGTTTTTTTAAGGTTGTATCCATTTTTTTTGGGGGGGGGGGGTAAGGCAGATGAAAATGGCACCTTTTTGACAGGACCAGAGAAAGTTCAGCCTGTTTGGATCTCTGAGAATACCAGGGAGGAAAATTCCTAACAGTAGAAAGGAAAAGAAAAGAAAAAAAAATCCCTCGACATTAAGGCAGCTCAGTATTTTATTAAGAAAAGAAAAGAAAAGAAAAGAAAAGAAAAGAAAAGAAAAGAAAAGAAAAGAAAAGGTTGTGAATTGCTATCCGTTCTGTTTGTGCATATGCAAACTACAGATCACGGATTCAGTTTAAAGCAATTTTAA